GAAAGGGTGATTGTGGAGTTATGTGGGGACGTGGTATTGAACGGTAGCCGTCAGCGTGCGATCCCATTAGCCTGTATTGTATGCTAATGAGCGGTTGTCGCCTGTGATCCATGCTTATATCGTGTTATATCGCCACCAACGGTTCTCTATTTTTCAACGCTCTCTATTTTTCTTCCACGTCTAACAATTTGGAAAGCAAATCGCAGAACATGTACAGTACGAATTATGATGAATTTTCACATTTTTATCCATTATTCTTGCGAGTAAAACGATAGAACAATTACCAAAACCGATTAAATGCTTAATCAATGCATTGCCCTTTTCGCATATATTCGGGAAATAAACACTTGTCCAATAGAGTGGGGGAAATTAGCGGAAAATACGATCGTTAACGATTAATATTTAACTTATGCGTTAAATTTAATAGACGTTCTTGATAGACGTGGCGATTACAGGCGAATAAATGTTATATGTTCGAGGCAAAAATATTGTGTGATAAATTAAAAAAAAAAAATATTTTCTACAATTCCCGTAATTGAATCGGGCAAGTATCGAAGAAAAACTTGGAATTGTTCGTGCACAATGTTTTCTATTTTAAGTAGTCCTAAAATGCAACTAGTTCTTAATGCCAAGGTAAGCGCGGATTAATGGGTGCGTAAATTTTTTATGTGCCATTAAAATGATCGTGAAAAGGATCGTACGTGCACGGTTGTTTCGCGCTTGCGTTGGCGTTCAAACGCATTCGAGTCGAAGTCCCGAACACAATGATGTTCCGTGCAAAAGACTGAAACGAGTGCAATTAACGTTACGAGTGCTAGCAGGTCATTATCCGACTGAATCCAGTCTCGTCTCAAAACCGCAAATTACCCGCGCCGTACACACGCACACGTAGACACGCGCCCAACCGTACGACCGTTGTTGTTACACATAGATCGAGTATCTCAATACAAGATTAAAATTACAATACAAGACTGGGATATTAGATATTAACAATTACGGGCACGAATATAAAAGTGTTGATCAACCATGCATTTATATATATATATATGTATGAAAAAAATATTCGCATATCTATCCACCTAGAAATTAATTATTAATCTCGAAACGCGTTCCCGCGTTCTCCACGCCTAAGCTCTCTTCCTTCTCCGATTCGCGCGATATATATTAAGACATAAATATGGCGCCAACGTTAAAAAAAAGAGGGAAGAGGGGGGGGGAGGAGAAAATGTTAAAGAAGCGAAGAACCGCGAATAAATAAACGAACTTGTTAAAATTCATAACGCGAGCACAATGCGGATGAAATTTACGATAGTTTCGTAATGAAATAAAGTGAATATAAGTTTTTCGATAAAACGCACGATTAACGAGGGTAAATTAACGATAAATAATCACGGTATCGGAGAAAACGTGATCTTGAAAATACCGTTATTCGAACGGGAGGGAACGACATATCTAACGTTTCTTTCAAATTAATTGCTATTGGTTGGGTATCGGCGTGCAGCGGTGCGAGATAATCGTGTCAATAATCATCGAAACAAGTTATGCGGCACGTGTTCCCGCGATCGCGTTCTCGTAGGCGATTAAAACGTCTCGCCGTACGTCGGAAGTCGAAACGAGTCAAAATCAGGGACGACTAGGCGTTGTCACTAGGCTCGCCGAGCTCGATACACACAAACCGTGTCGACATAATTATGCTACGCGCCGTCAGGTAGATGAAGCCGATACGAAGCTCGGATCATTTAAGCGCCTTTAGGAGCATAAATAATCCTATTAAACGTGTCACTGGCTGTGTCAACAATCTGACAGCCAACAAGATAGTAGGCCTGGTCTAGAGGGAACAGTTAGGTGCGTTCTCGCCGATGCGCGTGATTATGCGGTTCAAATCAATGTCGGGGAGTCATGGGCACGACTTTACCCCTTTCTCGAAAAATGTTTAATTTAAAGCGTGTATTCAAATATACCGCGCATATATATCGAGCAAAGCGAAACTTTAAACCAAATGCCACGAGTGATCAGATATCTAAATATATATATATATACTTTTAATAGCAGTTTGTAATATGTTTTATTGTTAGTAATCAGAATCGAATATAAACGAATACAAACGATATTCAAATTATATTCATCAACGTCAAGGAAAATTAAAAAAAAACATTGCGTAATTACAGTTAACGGTTAACCCATAGATGCACACCTGTTTATTCATTTAGATTCCGCAAGCTACTTCATCTCTCTCAACGCGTAGGTAAGTACACGAAACGTAAGCATTTCGAGTGTGTCAACATGTCTGTAAACTTAGAGGGGAAACACGAGTCGCGCTTCTGAAACCATAAAACAAAAAAAAAAGCGCCGACAACTTTACGACGCGTTCTTTTTTTTTTTTTTTTTTTCTTCTTTTATCATTTCGAGTTCGAAAGTGAACATTTTTATATATGTGTAATATATAAATATAAAAATATTATTATAATTTTCCCAACTCCGCCTGTCAAAGAAATCAAATTTATATATAATATTGAGTACAGGCGATTAATCTTTCAAGAAATCGTATTCTTCGATCAATTCCCACGTCGAATACGAATAACAGTATTTTTTTTTCCAAAGACTATAAACTTTCTGGATACGCTTTGTCGCAAGAACCTTCGTGGCAAGAACCTCGTAAACCTGACAATTATACGAATCTCGTACCGTGGTCCACAAATGAAATAACCGCGAGCGACTAATAACCATCCTCTCTCTATCTTTGTTCCTTCGTATCATCGTATTCCTTCTAATATCCGTACGACTGCGACAAAACGTTATTCGTTGGGTGTATAGTCGCCAGTGAACCAAATTAGGAACGTGCAACCGCAAATTAAGATGCGCCTGGCCATTTCTCGTGTGTATTGCTCGGAACATTGTACCATCTATCTATATGAACACACATACATATATATACGTATACGTATCTTGAACCATCGTTGCAACAGCATAAATTTTTAATTTTCAACAACGATATCGCAGAAATTTGAAACGTGAATATTTCCATTCTGAGATAGGAAATTAGAGGAAAATATTCGATTAATTTTTAAACGATTAATAATGTTGTGTAATTGAAATGAAATACGAATTTAACTGGTATTTTAAAAAAATATACTTATAATTATAAAAATGATAAAACGAATTGTTCGTCATTTGCCAGATAAACGATCGAGTAAAAATTCTGTTTATCGATACTCACACTTGTGAGCGCTAAAAGGTTCGATCGCAGTTCTAGTTTATTGCACTTCGAGGCGGTAGGTCCCAAGAGAAGTATATGTGACAAAACAGAGAATCCTCTTTAGGTTATACACTCTCTCGAGAATCGCATAAATTTCAGAACTAGTTTGTAAGAATTTAGTCAGTGGGTAACCAAAAAAAGTGAACGCATCTAATATGGTTTTGCGAGAACAAGAACTTATTATACATAGTTTTGCACGATTAGGTGCAAAATCTAGATTCCTTTCCTTGTTTGTTTTTTTTTTTTCTTAATTATTTTCTTAAGCATTTAAATTCATCTAAAAAATTTACGAGCACGGATAAACTAAGAAAGATTTTTATTTCTTTCAAAACGATTCAATAATATTTACATAGAATTTGAAACAATTGCTAAAAATAACCAACTTTGTGTATTTTTATCTCCTCGTGAAACAACGATCGAAGAACACGTATTTTTTATTTTCCTTTGAAACAGTGGCAAGAAAACCGATAAAGCGTATCGTAACATGTTACTAAAAGCCAACAACAACAGCAGAAAGTACATATCGTCGGTTATTGCTAAGAGCTTATCAATCAGTGCGTACCTCTATTATGCGGGTGGTTCTTATCATCAAGTGTAGCCAGTGACGTGTCATATACAGTATTTTTTGTAAATATTTATTAAACCAATACATTTTTCCTTTTCGAGCTAAATTCTTTTTATATTGAATAAAGAAGAAGAAGAAGAAAAAAGAAACATTATTGACAAAATGGATAAAATATCAAATAAGATTATAAGCAAACGATTCATTTATCGCATACGCATACACATAATGTGCATTAATATTTATGATACATAATAATTCAAGAGTGTTAATAAAATGGTTTGTTTTCACCTATAATTCGAAAAAGTTAAGAAATAACCACGCCAGAAATACAACACAGCTTGCATTCCTGTGTGACAGAACGGGGGAGGACAGACGCAGACAGAAGGTAAAGATCGATAGAGGTTCGTCGACTCGACAACTGACTAGAGTCTATATTTTGCTCGACGTTACCAATGCTTTCAAGGATAAAAATTATGATTACGTTATGCAATATTAACAATTATTTCTTTAATTTTTGTTATATTATAAAATTGCATATTTTATTATTTTTCTATTCGAACATATAAAGCGTCATTTTGTCAAATCGCCCTTCAAAAATGGCGGGAAAGACACAATGTTCGATATAATATCAATATAGTTCGATTTTTAAATTTTAATATT